TTAGTGTAAAAGATCAAAGACCACATTCTTCAATATGAGTTACATCTCAAAATCAAGAAAACAAAGATCCTCACCACTGGACCAATAGGCAACATTATGACAAATGGAGAAAAGATTGGAATTGTCAGCAATTTCATTTTATTTGGATTCAAAATCCCTTGGTGCCAGCAGTCAAGAAATCAAGACCTGTTGCATTGAAAAAAAATGTGCTATCAAAGTTTTCTTCAAAGTACGAAAAGGCAAAGATGTCAGTTTAAAGCCTAAGGTGCACGTGACCAAGCCATGGTATTTTTAATTACTTTCTATACATCTGAAGGAAGAATTCAAGATACTAAAGAGCTGAACAGAAGATTTCAAAAGGCAGCATGGGATGACAAAGTAAAATATTACAATGAAGTGTGCAAGGAGCTGGAGACAGAAAATCAAAAGGGCCAAACTCGTTCAGCATTTCTTAAGCTCAAAGAACTGAATAACAAATTCAAACCTCGAGTTGCTATAATCAAGGATGCTTTAGGCAGATATTAAATGATCCAGGAAGTATTAAAAGAAGATGGAAAGAATATACTGAGTCATTGTATCGAAAGGAATTGGCAGACACAAAATAATTTCATGAAACAACATATGAGCAAGAGCCTATGGTGATGAAGGAAGAAGTTCAAGCTGCATTGAAGGAAATAGCAAAAAATAAGGCTCCAGGAATAGATGGTATACCAATTGACATATTTCAGCTAACAGATGCTGCCCTGAATGTGCTCACTAAGTTGTGTCAAGAAATCTGGAGAACAACCACTTGGCCAACTGACTGGAAGAGATCTATATTTGTTCCCATTCCAAAGAAAGGTGACCCAACAGAGTGTGGAAACTATAGAACAATATCATTGATCTCACATGCAAGAAAGATTCTACTGAAGATTATCCAAAAATGACTAGAACAACACATCAGCAGAGAACTGCCAGAAGTCCAGGCTGGGTTTAGAAGGGGTCGTGGTACTAGGGATATTGTAGCTAATGTTAGATGGATCTTGGCTGAAAGCAGGGAATACCAGAGGAATGTCTATCTGTGTTTCATTGACTATGCAAAGGCGTTAGATTGTGTGGACCATAACAAACTGTGGCTGACTCTGAGAAGAATGGGAATCCTGGAACACTTAATCGTGCTAATGCGAAACCTATACTTGGACCAAGAAGCAGCCGTCAGAACAGAGCAAGGAAACACTGCATGGTTCAAAATTGGGAAGGTCGTACGCCAGGGATTTGTCCTGTCTCCATACCTTTTCAACCTGTATGCAGAGCAGATCATCCGGGAAGCTGGGCTCTATGAGGAGAAATGTGGCATCAGGATTGGTGGACGATCTGTCAACAATCTGCATCATGCAGATGACACAACCCTGCTTGCTGAAACTGAGGAGGACCTGAAATGCTTGCTGCAGAGGGTCAAGGACTGCAGTCTTCAGTATTGATTGAGGCTCAATGTCAAGAAGACAAAGATTCTCACCTCTGGACCAATTGGCAGCATCAGGATGGATGGTGAAGAGATTGAGATTGTTCACAGC